AGAAGGTGCTCTCCATTTCGCCATGTTCAATTTTTTGGTAAACTATGCCTGCTGAAAATTTGATGGCGGGGAACACATGGGCTGTCTCTTATACACATCTAGATGTGTATAAGAGACAGCTATAGGGGATGCTGATTCAGAAAAACCAAAAATTAATTTTCCTCTACTTTTTTCCCGCTAAAGTTCATTTCAGCAGTTTTACAACCAGACTAAAAGGTGATACTACTTAAACATGATTAACCATAGGTCCATTTAACTTCTGACAACATTTTCAAAAATCTTTAGAGAAAGTCATTTACTAGCGCACTCAAATATGCACCACTGCTCCCGTCTCACAATTTCAACAACATTTCAATTTCAACAACTATAATAAGAATAAAAACCTACTCACCGAGAACAGCTATAAGGATAACTATCGTCAGGACACTAGTGGTGGGCATTTTGAACATGTTGTTTGTTTGAACTTAAAGTAATCAATGCGGTCTTTGCAACTACTAATAAATGTCTAATGTACATGTGTTCATGATGAGTTGACATGAAAATAGAAAAATGTAATTTCCAAACCTTCATTTAAGGTTTTTCCCAAATTTACTCATACAAGATACAAGATGACGAAAACATCTCATCTAAATCAAACCCAAGTTAAAGAGAATAACTTGGGATTAAGCACATCCTTTTCAATGTTTACATTAGATTAGAACTAACCTTGATTATCAGGTGTCATGACATGGTATTTCCGAGCGGTATAGAAATGACTAGGACTACCTCTTTGACATAATATGTCAAAAACATTGGCTATTATAAAATATAAACACAGCTCACAATGTTGTAAAACAACTCTCAAATAAACTTTTATTCTGTATAAACTCCAACAAAAATCCGTTGTCAAAATAACACAATAACATTCACATAAACATGCGTTTCAAACCAGAAAGATAAAACTATCAGCTTTTCTAATTTCTATGTTAGGCCATGGAGGTATTATTGAGAAGGAGATCACTCGGCAACAGTTCCCTTTGACGCGACAAACCCATGTGTTCCCCGCTTTTGCATCGCGCGCGGGCGTATTACCCTATAATTCACATTTTTTCGTTAGCAACAACTTGGCAACGACATGCATTTATACGCTTCCAGCAGAGCAGTTGTGCAATAAAGCGTTTGATTTTAACCCATTAAATATCTTTATAATGAACAGTGTTTCTCTGATTAGATTTTTTCGGACTTTTGGTATGTTATTATTTGTATATTTCAGGAATGGATTCCGTAAAATATTTATATAAAAATTTTGTGTTCATTATAATTTTGTCTAAAGATTGATTAGTTCGACTATAAAGCTAAGTCAGCGTAAGACTGAAAAATACTCAGATTTGGGATTGATTTTTCGAATAGTTAACCCTAAAATGACTTAGTTTATTATAATCCTCAATCATTTATTAATTAATATCTGTTAAAATTAGAATTAGCGAATTTTGGCCAATTTATGGAAATTTCAGTTGAACTATACTATACTTTTAAAGGTCATGTAAATGTTCCATTAAATTCGAAACTTTTTTTGGTGGAAAATATTAATATGTTTGATATTTTATGAGAGATAAATGTATCAGCTTCAAAATGGAAACGATTGTGCAGCCATAGTGATTGACTGTATGCAGTTCGCATCGAGAAAAGAAGGTGCTGTCCATTTCGCCATGTTCAATTTTTTGGTAAATTATGCCTGCTGAAAATTTGATGGCGGGGAACACATGGGACTTCAAAGGCATCACGTAAACGTTCTTCACGCGCTGCGGCAGCTTTGACTTTGGTTCATTTGCATCGCTGCGTGCACGTAGCTTTTTCGAGTGATCTCCTTCTCAATAATACCTCCATGGTTTAAATACTATTATTATTATTATTATTATTATTATTACCATTATCATTAATATCATCATCATCATTGTCATCGCCACCATCATCATCATCATTGTTAATTATTATTATTAATAATAATAATAATTATTATTATTATAGTGTTTTTTTTTTCTTTTGCGCTTTTTTACTTTTGACATATATTGTTTAGCCTCATTTTGTCTGTATTTTAAAGTTTTAATTATTTAAATGTTTACTGCTTTTATATTGTGATTTTGACTTTATTGCCGTTTTGACTTATTGCCATTTTGACTTATTGCCGTTCTGGTTAAAAATTGTTGACGTTTTGGTTTTTTGCCGTTTTGGTCATTGCCGCGCACACTTCCTCAAGGGTCAAAGTGCGGCGGATCACCAAACTCGTCCTCAGTGACGAGTTCAAATCTAGTTATTAAATTTTAATTGTTTTCCTTTAATGCATCAAGCTACCGTAATATGACTTCATGTATGTTTTGTAATGTCGAAATCTTCCAAAAAAGTAGAATATTGAATAAAACGAGAAACAAAGAGTTGCAATGTAACCATCTAATTTATTTTCAAATCCATTTTCCATTTTATATTACCGTATTAAAAAAGCACCGTACTACAATACTATCATTGCGAAATGATCTTTTGAAATGATGAAAATGTTTTTCATAATCCATGTGGTTGTGAATCGTAAGCATTATACCTTACCGTAAATAAGGCCACCAATTTGTGATATACTAAAATAAATTAAGGAAAAACATCACCAGGAATGTCACAGTACAAGTAAATTCTGTATTTGGGAAATTTTGCCTAAAATCTGTCAACCACAAGATTGCTTATCTGATTACGATTTATTCCAAGCATCATCGGGAAATCCAAACGAGCGTTTGTCATAGTAGAACGTAAATCATTTGAACAGAGGCGGATCTAGAATACTTCAAACAGGTGGTGTGGGGTGTGGATTAAGATGATGTGTTGTTGCCATTGTAATCCGATTGAGAATATTAGTTGGTATAAATATGGATATTAAGTGTTAATGAATGTATTAGTTTAATTGTATTAATTGTAATGATTACATCATATTCTTATTAATTATGTCATATTCTTATAATAATTATACAGTATCATCATCGTATCCAATTGTGATAATGTTCACAAAAGACACCTCAGAAATTCATGAAAGCTCATTTCTGGCCATCCAGGAATCAAAATTTTCCCGGAGATGACCCCCGGATGCCTTTCTTTTTGGGTTTTTATAGAAAAATTTTGAGCCCCTTCCTTCAAATCCTGGATCTCCCCTTGCAATGTTAGTATGCAAGATAAAGTGATGATCTGAAGATGACATAATTATTTACAATTTCAAGAATTTGTACAAAATACCCATTTAGAAACAAAGAAAGTGGTGATTATCACTTCCTGAAAATTTGCTTTGAAATAAAAAAAACATTTGAAGTATATTTGTACATTTTTCTGTTGTAAATTTGCTTCAGGCTGTAGGCCATTTGAAAATAGCGATTTTATTGTCTCAGGAAATGGATGGTGTTTAATAGGAAAATATGTTAATTTTGATCGGATGCATACAGTCTGGGTTTTATCGATATTTATTCTAAGACCAGACATTGATTTATATTTTTCCAAAATGCTTGAGGTGGATCTAATTGAGCTTTTGGTTCCGTCTAATAGGATTGTGGTTTTATAAAAAGAATGATTCTTAGTCTTTAGTATATAACTAGTGGAAAAAACATGAGATAGTACTTTTCATGTGAATGTATATATCTAATGGAAAAAACACGACATCGGTAGTTGTCATGGGAATGTCCTGATGTCAAGAGTTTTAATCCTTTGCTGCTTTTATAAATTTCAGAATTTTACAGTTTGTGGCATGGACTTATTTGCTAATTTCCTGTTTGATGAGTTGCTTGAACTTCTTGACTTCCATTACAAAGGTAAGCAATCATCAATAGCAAAGCTGAAAATAAAGGAAGAGTGACATTCATGTTAGTTCAGACTCCTAAACAAAAGGTCAGAACTTGTATCGAAATGCCGCCACGAAAACAAGCACTACCTCCGAACAGCAACTCCGACGTCCGCAATAACCTAACTTCATACTACGTCCGCTCAAGCAAGTCACATCACCCCACAACGTTCACCTTTCATCAGTTGCCTGACGATCGCAATAGCGTGAAACTCCGAGTAGCAACATTCTGTTCCAGCGACCTCCACTTCTATATATATATATATATATATATATATAGATTTTTTTTTTATTTCAATAATTTCAAAAACATACTACAAATTAACAGTAAAAAACAACACACACACACAAAAATCACAACAAAAAAGATTGTTCAAGTTATGCTTAATATGGTAGAATTAAAGATATACTGTAGTTAAATAAATATTGGGATGAATATATTCCATCTATCATTAAAGTGGGTTATTTTAAAATTTAAATGATAAATATGTTTTTCCCGAAAGAAAGTATTTGTTTTTTTTTTTTTTGAAAAATTTAAAACACCAGCAAAGTTTGAAGGAAATTTTCTAAATTTAGCTGTGTAAATATTATATTTTATTGAAATAAGTAGCACATTAATGGTACATGAATTTTCAAAACTAAAGAGGATTATTTTATTTGTAAATTTAATATACGTCCCTAATTGTTGAAATAAAAACTGTTCAAACTTTTTCAAATTGGACACATCAAAGGACAATTGCATAAAATGCAAACTATGGTTTCAGGTTCTAAATAACAAAAGAGCGCATTTTACAATCTGTAATTTCAATTTTAAAAAGGAAACTATTGGTTGTTAAAATATTATTCAAAATTCTATATTGGAACCATCTAAGTTAACTGTCTTGTGTACATAAGAAATTATTTGTACAGTATTTTTTCCATTCCTCTTCAGTTAATATAAAATTTATTTTACTGGACCATTGCTCTAGTGCCTTACTGTTGTATTGTGCTTCATTTTTTTTTAACTCTTATTAGCTCAACGTAGAATATTTGGCAGCCCTTTTTACACTGCAACAAGCATCTATATAAGATAGGCAGAAATGGACAATTCAAATTGCTATGAAGATCTTTCAATTGTGGCCATGCATGGAATAAAGCTTTTCTTATACCTAGATACTCTAGAACATTAATATTCAATTTAAATTATTTACAAAATTCATCACGTTTTTTAAAATTTACCTATACTATCAAAGAAATCATTAACATATTTTACACCTTTCTCGTAACATTTGTAAAAAAAATGGGTTGTCACCAATTTTAATATTGTCATTAAATCAAGTATTTTCTTTAAGTGTAATTAAATCAAATATTTTCTGTAAGTGTAATATATTTATCATCAGTTCTTACTCTTTCCTTAAATATTTTCATGCTATTAGTACATCTTTCCAAAAAGGTTTTTCCCATTCAGAATTTACCAAATCCAAGACAATAGAGCAATGTTTAGAAAGATCAGATGAAAATAATTTTCCCCATTTGGCATCATTTCAGTAGAGTGTCCTAATTCATGAAATCTTGAGAGCTTGGAAAAATTCATTAATTTTCATCATTTTCACACCCCCATTTTGATAGTTCATAGAAAGTTGTTCTCTACCAAAGTTTTTCTCTACCTTTTTGCCAAATTATACATGATTTTATTTAGTCATTTCTTAACATTGTCGCTTGGATCTAGTAAAGATAAAATCAAGTAAATTAATTTTGACAGAGCTAACGATTTGATAACAGTAACTCTTCCCAGTACAGTAAGGTATCTTTTAGACCAACCAAGTAGCATTTTTGTTGCATTATTGTTACTCACTGGCATTATTATAGTTTAAATCAACTATTTAATTTTTATTTGTATTGAAAACAATTCCCAGCAATTTTAAGTTGTTTTTTTCCTATCCAATTTAATTTCTTATCCTTGCATAAGATCTCTGTACTGTTTAATTTCGACCTGATCCATACAGTCTTCAGGTTTATCGATATTTATTCTAAGACCAAACATTGATTTATATTCTTTCAAAATACTTAAGGTGGACCTAATTGAGCTTTTGGTTCGTCTATTTAGGATTGTGGTATCATCTGCAAACATTGACAATTTTTATCCAATATTATTTATTTTGATCTCTTTGTTTTTCTTACTGCTGCATATCATAACTAGAATTTTGATACATATATATGTTATAAAAAGGTATGGAGAGAGGGGGGGGGGGTCGCCCTGTCTACATCTTTTTGTTATTTCAAATTGTTTAGTTAGAAAACCATTAATAACAATAGAAGACATATCGTTATATTTGTTAACCATATTGAGAACCAAATCCAAAAAGCTCTAAACTTTTAAAGAGAAATTTAAATAAAATGGATTCGAAAGCCTTTTTAAAATCAGAATAAGCAGACCAGGAAGTTTGTCAGTTTTTTTTTTTTTTTTGTTTGGAGTAAAATATCATAAATCAATCTAGTACTTTCACCTATGTATCACCCTGGAATGAAACCATTTAGATCATCAGTGAGATTATGTAGGGGATGGCTGTTTTTTTTTTTTGTCTATAGGCCAAACAGGCCGAAGCAATTTTGTATGTAACGTTTAATAATGAAATGAGTTTGCCAGTTTTGTAGGTATTACCTTGGTTTTTCTCCCTTTGGGAGCAAGGTAATACAGTAACACTAATTTTTTGTGTTATTGATAGTTTTTGCGTATCAAAAGCCATATTCAAAGATTTAATCAAAATGGCGGATAAATATAATATATATATTAAGTAATATTATACTATTTATATCTGGTTATTTATTTAAGGTTTTTATTAAGTTAATATATTAAGTTATTATATATACTGTATTATATAATAATTATATTAAGTTATTTACAGTTAACATGTATGTATATATTAAGTTATTATATACTGTATATTATGTTAGTTAATATATATATATATATAAAATTATTTGTTTAAGTTGAATTAAGTTAATATATATTTTTTTACATTACCAAGCAAAAGAAGGCTGTCAGCTATTCCATTTCATGCCTCGGTTTGCCCGCTCCCTCCCAAACAACGGCAAAGAGATTCTTTCTATGCACCATGTGATGCAGGCTTTAATACGAAAAGGTCGTAGCTTCACAGATGTCCTGGAAGAGATGAATTGGAGGGAGTATGATGACATCGACTGGCAAAGTTTTGCAGAAGACATGAAGAACTCAATTCTGACATACCCTGGCAAGGTAATTTTTCTTGTGCCTTCAAGTTTGCTTTTTGCCTTAATAACATTCTAGCTGTATTTAGGAAAATAGAGAATTTAGACAAAATAACAATTATTTGCCAAAAAATTGTTTAAATGCTAGGCTGGCTTCTGGTGAATTTACATGGCCAATCCTACAAATCCTCAGATTTCTTGCCTTAAATTGTGTACTCATTTGTTTGAGGGCCTCTAAACTCACAGTGTTCCATTTCACGCTTGAGATGTTCTTACTGGGCCCACCCAATTTTCAAAGTGTTTGTCTTCCTATCACTTGCTTACAGTGATGTTGTCTTTACAGAAACCAAGTTCGGTTCGAGTTGACCAGATTGATAGGGAGGAAGAAGAAATTGACAAAGCACGCCCATTCCCAACCATCGTTCATTTTGGAGTGAGACCTGTTCAGCTCACCTATGCTGGGGATCATCAGTATGACAAATTTACTTTTTTTTATATGTTTATTTAGATATATACTGTTTGAGATGAAATAAGATTTGAAAAGAAAGAGTCTATTTTTCGAATATTTACTGGTTTAATCGAATATTACCATTGTTTCTAATTAAAAAACCAGAACATCCACAATAGAACCATTCGTCCCACTATGGTAAACTCAAAAACGTTATACAGGTAACAATTTAATTTCAGGTATCAAAAGCTGTTTAAGTCCATCTTGAAATTACAGCATCTCATATCCAATAAGCCCAAAGTGACGCCAGCCGACCGACGAAAACTCACCGAAAGGTCTGAACAACTGCAGGCCATAAGACTCTCAAAGAATATGTCACGTGAAGTTACTGCAGAACTCAACTGTGACGGTGCTTATGTGACAGGGTTAAAATCAGACATCTGCCAGGTATTGTCTAATTGAAGATTTCTGTTTAATATATAAAAAATAAATAGTTGCACAGGGAAGCAGCTAATTTAGAATGCACTGCACTCTTATATTCTAATAACTTTGTAGATTCTATCATATGGCTCACTTCTCTTCCCAGCATGCGTTAATGCTTCCAGTTCTGGTGGATCATATACGATACTTTGCTTGCCTTCACAATTTAGAGAAATGTATAGGTTATGTATTCAAAGACAAGGTCCTATTAAAGGTAAGGGATTTTTATTATATCCAAATCACTGTGTGCATAATATTACTATTTGTAACAAGTTTGATCTGAGATATTTTATGTTTTACACATGCATATGGTCTAAGCAGATTCTCAGAAGAATATTTACAATTATTGGGGCGCTATTTGTTTACAATTTAGAATTAGACATGAAACTAGGCTCAAACTACCTATTAGTCATAGTAAACTTGATGATGCTAATAATTAACTTTTCCCAGCATGCAATGACTCATCCATCTTATGGTCAGGGTTACGGGATGAACCCCGACCATGTAAGAAATTCACTTTACAACTGTGGAATGCGCCACCCAGACTACGGGGACGAGAAGGGTAAGCAAGAAATGTACAACCGTAAGAAGGGTATCAACATTCTCATTAACACAATGTCCAAGATGGCCCAAGATGATGAAACGCCCTCGCACATCCATCATTATGAACGTCTGGAATTCCTCGGTGACGCAGTTGTTGAGTTTATCACCAGCACCCATTTGTATTTACTGTTCCCGGATATTGAGGAAGGGGGACTGGCAACCTTCCGTCAGGCTATTGTGCAGAATCAACACCTTTCTGTCCTAGCTAAGGTAAGAGTTTTTAAAATCCTATAATTGCAGTGATCATGTATTATGACTATAATTTGTTATCATCAAATGCTTGTATTTTCTTTTTCTGTTATTTAATTATATAACCTTTACAGTCTTTTAATAATAGTGTAAGTTTACTAACACAAGTATATTGATTTTCATAAAACAGAAATTGAAGCTGGATCACTATCTTCTATATGCACATGGACCAGATCTCTGCCGTAAATCTGACCTTCGACATGCCATGGCTAACTGCTTTGAAGCTCTGATGGGTGCTATGTATCTTGAGTCAGGCCTTGAGTATGTTAATAAGACATTCTCATCTGTCTTGTTTGATGGACAACAACTGAGGAATATTTGGAACAGATGTCCAAAGCATCCTTTACAGGTGAGATTGAGATGAATAGCCATATATTGGGGTTTGTAACTCACATTGTGCTTTTCACTTGCTTCTAACTTAGGTGTCTAAGTGAGTAATCTCGAAGTGCACTGATTGGTAGCTTCGACACTATGAGCTAGGCAGCTAAGTATTCCATAGGTGTTTGATTTAGTGATTGGAGTAAAATTGTGAAGTGCATGGCATGAATAACTATTTAATTAACCTAACATAAACTCTATAATAACTCCTAAAGGAAAAAAAATGCATGCCATAGACGTAAAGCATCTTCTACATTAAACTTTTTTGGTAAAATTTATTTTTATGGCCATACTAAATATCACCTTCATAACGAAATCTAGCAGAAAGGCCATACATTGTAAGTGCTATAGCATCCTCTACAGTTAATTATCTAGCATTACTGTATATAAAAAGATGCATACCATAGACATTATATAGCATCCTCTACAATAAACTTTAGATGGATCGCCATACACATACTCTATTGGTAAAATATAGTTGTAGAACCATACTCTATATATGATATAGCATCATCTAATAGTGAAATCTAGTGGAAGGGCCATACATTGTAAGTGCTATGGCATCCTCTAAAGTATGATCAAGCATATAACTGTTATTTGAAAAGAATAATAACTGGCTCACCTTAAAGCAAAAATAATAGAAGACAGACCAGTTTGCAAGTATAGTGGTCAAATGCATTGTGGGGATGGTGTCCACAGAGAGAGCAATTTTACCCCATCCGATCAGCGGTGATACTGTATGTCTATATAATCAAGATGCTGCTCTGGTTCGTTTGTTGCCTGTATTTTCTCCACTCCGTCAAATATTACTCAGCAGGATGGCACACATTCCATCAATGTTAATGCAACTTACGCGAAGTGCTCATATTTCTGTTTTTTGCCCATATGTGTGAGATTATTAAATTCATATATCTTTATATTTTATTAGATTGAATGCCCTGATGGTGACCGGCACATGTTACAATCCTATCCCATCCTTCAGGTAATAAAATCCAACAATTGTGTTTACATATTTTAATATTAATTAATACATTCCTCTATTATCAGGGGCAGGAGATCTAAGACAATTTAATTGATGGGGTGGGGGGCGTGGGGGGAGTGTTGGTGTAAAGAGCAAATCAAGGACCTGAGTGGAGAGGCTTGGGTGTCTTTCTCTATTTTGGGGGTACAGATTGTGTATTCCTTATGAAAATCTTGACTTTTAAGCCACCCTCCTGGATCTGCCACTAATTATCTTAACCTACTCCTAATTATGCAACACATTAAAGCTATTCATCACTTAAAAAATGATAAAAACATTATTTTATATAGAAACTCAATCAATTTGAAGATGCAACTGGTATCTATTTCAAAAATATTCGCCTTCTAGCTCGTGCATTCACTCAAAGAACTGTGGGATACAACAATCTTACAAGGTAAATAAATGTGTATCCTGCAAGTTTGTTTTTCTTGTATTATAATTAGTGTCATTTAAAAAATTTTAAACCTACAATTAAAACAATTGAATTGAATAAGCTACTGCATAATGTTGATCTGTTCTTAATC